TATCTCTGGCTTTATTTATTGCTGATTACCTACCTTGCTACAGACACACACCGAAGTAAGTAGCTGGATTTCTTTTACAGGCAGATAGTACAACCAAAGATTTAAAAATTAGAAACAGATAAAATAAATTATTAACTACTAAAATAAAGATAAAATATATAGTTGGAAAGCCTAAAATATAATTACATTTTATCTTTATTTTTTTAGTATTTAGCCCGACGGAAAGGTCAATATAGCCTCTTGCTCCAGCTGGTTTCGAAACTCCTTGACTCCGGAGCAATTCACGCACCGGCCTTTCGGTCTTCCCAGACCCATGCGGTATAAAATTACAAGCGGGGAAAGCCACCACGCGGCCCCCTAGCACAACTATTTAATTCCACCTCAACGTTTTTGGCCGAGACAGCATATCTCGTGACGTGTCCGAGACTCCCAGTCCCGCGCTCTTTCGGCGGTATATTGTGTTTGATGGGAAGGTCCCCAAGCAGCAGGAGCAAAGCCGTGGGGGGAAATAAGAACACACGGCGGACATGATATATACAAATATCTTTACCCCATAGTAGGTGGAATAATAATAATTTTTTATTAGAGACTCACACGCAGTCTTTCTGGGGGTGCATGCCGCGAGCGGTGTGGAGAGAAAGTAGAAGTGACCTTAAAAAAAACATGCAAAAAAGGACGAATTTTGATTATCAATCCTGGGGTTGAAGCATGCATAAGGGTAGAGAGATAGTTCACATAGAGTGTTGTCTCTCTCATCACCAATAAGAGGATAACCTCTTCTCTGAGAAATGGGGGCGCAATAAAAATTCGAAACTTTTTGACTATATTTTTATTTCCATCCCACTTAACAATTTTTATAATATACCCACATAACAAAAAACAAAAAAAAACATAATTTTTTTCGCAAGGAAGGAAAAAGGGGGGGGGCGCAATACTCAAAATAAACCTTGAAAATAAAACCCAAAAAAATATATTATTCTTTCTGATTCATTCTTAATTACATTTATATGCGGAGCGAAGAGGGGGAACCTCATATTTTGATTTGAGCCGATAAAATTGGATCTGATTTTTTTACACATTGAATTTTTTAAAAAAAAGGTGGGAAAAAGGGATTTAAAAAAGGGAGTTTACTGTAAGGGCAGTAGCGCCATTTATTAACATAAAAAAGTGGAGGTGACTCAACAAAGGCCATTGCGTTGTATTTCGCTTACAATAATGGCGGCGCGCGGTCAGGGGGGATGCAGACTGAGAGAGTTTTTTGCAAAAGGGCGCAAATCAACATAAAAAGAGACGGTTTAGTTACTATTTAGATGGGCGGGCAGACGGATAATGCACAAAAACGCATGTAAAAAAAATAGCGTGATATCTCAGGGGAAAGGAGCGCGCACAAAAAATCTTCAAGTTCTAAGAAGAAGAGAAATCTCGTTGCGGTCTCCACTTAGGTTAAGCCTATTGCTAACCCCTGGACGGACCAAACCTACAGCCAGGCAATTGTTAAGAGAGACCTGTCTCCCTCAACTACTATTAAAATCTCATTTATACCCTGGAAAAAAGGGGAAAAAATTAGCCGAAAGACATAAAACCAAACTGGCGCCAATGACAACTTCATTTTCATTTAAAAGTCGCGCGGCCCACACAACTACATTTGGAAAGGGCTTTGGATCACAAGGCGGGGAGGAGGAGCGGGGAGCGCCAACGCGATAGTTTGGATGATGCTGTGGGGAGGAGGAGAGCAGTAAGAAAGAAGAGCGGCGCACGTTTGGTCTTTCTTCTTGGGGCACTCATGCATAGGGAGACACAACAAGACTATCAAAAACCTAGATATATTATAAAAAAGTTAAAAAAAAAGAAATTTTTCACCCACAAAAAAAAAAAACAGACGAAAAAAAGAAAGCGCGGTCATCTCTGAGGAGCATAGCCATTACAAGAGAAAAGGAAGGATATTTAGGAATAATATGGGAGGAAGAGATATAAAAAAGGCTTAAAAAGAGGGGAATCTCATAGTGAAATAAATCTTAAAAGAGGGGAGCCAATATAAAAATAACATGGTCTAATATTGGGAACAAAAAAAAAAAAGTAATATAATGACACCAAAAATACATAATTTGCTGTTATTGTGGAGAGGTCATAATTAGTTTAATGTTTGGTAGAGCGAGGACTCATATCATGTGACCTAGAGAGCAGCATAAAGACAGACAGGGAATTATAAATAATAGGAAAAATCAAACGTATATATTGTTCATTCTCATTAAAGTGCTCTCAGCTAGCATTTATTTAAATTTGGCAATAAATCCAATTTTCTGTGCCTATACATCTAATATTTAACCAAAGAAACATATACATAAGTTTTCAAAAATTTGTTGAGGACTAATTTTTTATGGGGCTACCTAAAATAGTTTGTTAAGAACATGACTTCAAGGATATTATCTTCTGGGCGATTTTAATCTGTACTTTTATCTAAATAGGTACAAAACATTTCAAGAAGAAGAAACAACACTGCAACTATGTAGGTCTTAAAACACCGACAAAAACTAATAATTATTTGTAAGCGTTAGGGGGGGGGGGGGAGGGTTTTTTTTTTAACTTTGTTTTTATTACAAATAAAGTTACCATTTCCCCCAATTGGGGCCCTGGGTATCAAAAATAAGGGGAAAACAACAAAAAAAAAAAATTTTTTTTTGCCAATTTCCACCCTTTTGACCGTGTTATCCTACGTCCTCCAAAAAGGGCTTTTTTCCTTTTTGGCAAGAAACCATTGCGGGGAGTTAAAAAGATATTGTAATAATTTCCCTACCCATTAGGAACCTCTTGATCGTTTGTGAGGTCATCTAAGGTACTAGGGTGTCTTGTCTTGCTCTCTTCTCTGAAGACTCCTCCATGAGGCTCTTCTACTGTGGGAGGAGAGCGCTCTTTCGTATAGACTGATAAACTGGAGACTGAATCGATACATTATTGTCTTGTACGACAAAGAGAAGAAGAGTATTATAACAGTAGGATACCAATCAACGTGTCTATTGTAACAAACCTAATGTAAGAAAGAACTGCACCATTCTGTTTCCTTTTCTTGGGGAAAAAATCCTTATCTTGGTAATAGGGTAGAATAAAACCAACTTTCCTTGGCCTCAGAATTGCTTTTTTTTTTTTTTTTTTTTTTTGAGATAGCAGTCTTGCCTCTGTTGCCCGGGGTCGCCTAGCTCACAGCAACCTCAAACTCCTGGGCTCAGGTGATCTCCTGCCTCAGCCTCCTAAGCAGCTGGGTACATCAGGCATGCGCCACCCACACCCAAGCTAATTTTTCTATTTTTAGTGAGAGACAGAGACTTTATTCTTGCTCAGGCTGGTCTCGAACTGCTGAGCTCAAGGTCCTCCCACCTTGGCCTCCCGAGTGCTAGGATTAAGGCATGAGCACCGCACCTCTGTGCCCGGCCAGAAATTGCTCTTAAAATCTTTAAGTGGATACATTATAAAATAAACCTCTAAACTAACAGACAGTTAGTCTGATTTTCTGAACAATATCTGCCCCCAAATAGAACTCATTTCTATTTGCCTTCGGACTGTGGGTAAGATCACTACCTGCTTCTGATGAAGGGATGTTAAAGGAGGGAGGCTACTCTTAAAAAGCTATCTGTTGTGAAAAAAGTTGTCTCCTGAAATAAAAACAAATGAGTTAAATTAGGACATTTCATACAAGAAAAGAAAACATAATGGGTGCACTTAAAAAATGCTCCATTCAAAACAAAATCCCTTTTTTAAACTAGGAAGCATTTAGGATCATTTATTTATTTTTTATTGTTTTTTTGAGACAGATCTTACTCTGTTGCCCGAGGTAGAGCGCCATGGCGTCAGCCCAGCCTACAGCAACCTCAAACTCCTGGGTTCAAGCGATCCTCCTGCTCAGCCTCCCGCATAGCTGGGACTACAGGCACGCACCACCATGCCCGGCTAATTTTTCTATATATTTTTAGTTGGGCAGTTAATTTCTATTTTGGTAAGAGACGGGGTTCTCTCTCCTGCTCAGCTGGTTTGAACTCCTGATCTGAGCGATCCACCCGCCGGGGCCTTCCCAGAGTGCTGGGATTAGCAGGCTGTGAGCCACCACGCCCGCGCCTCATTTATTTATTTGTATGTCAAATTCTATAGGGTGGATTTCACTTTTTTCTCTTTTGGAGTAGGTCTCTCTCTGGCTGCCCAGCGGAATGTGCGGCTGGCATCATCATAGCTCCCTGCAGCCTCCAACTCCTGGTTTCCTACTTTCCTTTCTCTTCTTCAACCCGATATGTCGAATCAAAACTCCCCAGAGGCTCTTCTCCGCTGAACACGTGATCCTGGTGACTGCGAAACACGACCCAGCCATGTCCCACAAACACGAGGCCATGAGTCCACCACTGTTCATCCTCTCACCAAATCCTCCCAACATGTCAACCCAGGAACGGGGGCACCTGAACTGCCTGCTCGTTTCATTCTCCACATCCCTGTGTGTCGTGTCCAACACGTCTTGCTAATCTGCCTCCTTCCTCTGTTCTTCTCCCTTCTTTCAAGCTGTATCACGTCTACCTGTCTAATGAGGTCTCTCTTCTGTCTATGATACTCTTGAAAAGCTAAGTGAGTGAGTTTTAACAAAAACCTAGCCTTGAGACTGGGTGAGGTGGCTGTAATCCCAGTACTTTGGGAGGCCAAGGCAAAGAGGATCACTTGATGCCAGCAGTTCAAGACAACCCTGGGTGACAAAGTGAGACCCCATCTCTAAAAAACTGTTTAACAAATTAGCTGAGCATAGTGGTGGGCGTCTGCGGTCCCAGCTACTCGGGAGGCTGAGGCAGGAGGATCGCTTGAGCCCGGGAGTTGGAGGTTGCTGTGAGCTAGGCTGACGCCACGGCAATCTAGCCCAGGCAACAGAGTCTCTGTCTCAAAAAAAAAAATTTTTTTTTCATTGGAAAAAAAAAATTATTTTGGGGGGAAAAGGTCATATAAGGAGTTCATCCCACTGCAAAGTCGCTTACCTTGTTTCTGTAGATGATAAGCATTCCGATCTGGGACAAGCCGTAAAGATTGAAGATTCCACCCAAAGACCCGACTAATTGTGCCTATGAAACAAATAGAAAATACTGCATACGAACTGATCTTATAAATGTGTGCTTAACTGTAAATTTAACACCAGATTATCTGATAAACTAAAATGAAGGACAGTGGTCTTTTTTAATTTTTTTTTTAGTAAAATCCCCTTTGTGGAAATACAGCAGTTAGGGTAGAAATTTGAATGAATGAATTTATTTTGGGTGTTTGGAGGAAGCGACACCACCTGGGCTCGGCTAACTTTTTTCTGTATAGTTTTTAGTTTGGCCAATTCCATTTCTTTCCTATGGAGAGTACGAGACCAGGATGTCGCTCTTGCTCAGCTGGTTTCCAACTCTGGACCTCTCTGATGATCCACCGCCTCACAGGTGCATGGATTCAGCGTTGGGGCGAAAGGGCCTCGGGAAGAGGCACAGTGAGCACGCGCCAGCCAGTTCCTTGCAACTCTTTTGGAGCACCAGTTTCCCGTCTGTCACAACGGATCAAAACAGAAAATCAAGGAAGATACATGGCTGAAGATGCAAACTGTTCCAAACAGCCGAACAGGAATCATGCTCAAGGCTTTAAGAAGATGCGACGTCCCTGTTACTCTCGCTTGGGAGACAGCTCTGACGAGTAGCAAACAAAAAAAAGGCGCGCGCATAACGGAGACAGCCATAAGAGTGTATGAGAGGATAACTTCTTATTAGTCAACTGCGTGTCACAGGGTTGGACCAGGAAAATGAATGCCCTTCATTCATGTCATTCAGTTTGAGACAAGATCTCTGCTCTGTCATCCAGGCTGGAGTGCCTGTGTCACATCCATAGCATCACGGTCAGCACCTCCAAATCTCCTTGGGCTCAAGCGATCCTCCTGCCTCCGCCTCCCAAGGTAGCTGGGACTACCAGGCATCCGAGCCACGTGTAGCCCACGGCAAACGATGCCGTTTTAATATGGGTAACCAAATAGTAAGCGAAATAGAAAACAAAGCTTTCTTTTTTGTAATGAGGCAGCCCCCAAAATGCTGTGGCGCCAGCCTAGAGCCCTTTTCTTCCACTCAAAGGCGCGACAGCCACGTTCCCGGACAGTTCCTGTTGCTTGGAAAATGGCGGCGGGCGGCCCACGCTGGCCTCAGGGGTGGCCTAGCACTGGGATGGGTGCCTGGGATCGGCAGCGTGCTGTTGTGGCCATAACCTGTCCCAGGAGTTCCTGACACCACGTGCTCTGTGTAGAGAGACTGCTTTGTAAAATTATATTGTTCATATTTTGAGACACGATCTTAGCTCTGTTGCTGTGAGTAGCAGGGCAGTGGGCGTCATCGTCAGCTCACAGCCAACCCGTCCAACTCCTTGGCTCAAGGCGATCCTCCTGCCCCAGCCTCCGGCCGAGTAAGCCGGACACAGCCCATCGCACCCCCATGCCCTGGGTAATTTATCCTATTTTTACGTGCAGCCCGGCGTCCTCACACATTGGCCTCGGGCTGGTGTCGAACTCCCGACCTTTAATGATCCTCCCGGCCCCAGACTCCAGAGTGCTGGATTCCCAGGCAGAGCCACCGCGCCCGGCCCAGAGAGGCTGCGTTTTTGTTCCTCTCCTTTACACCTCCGCGTGAGGTGAAGTTCCCACGGTGGCAGATGCCTGGCAAAGAGCCAGGCTGAAGGGCCATTTCCTGATTTTTCTTCCCAGGGGAGGTTTACTCATTTGGGCGCTGAGACGCTCAGCGTGGACCAAAGTCTAGCCCGTCTCCCCTGGAGTCTGGAGGGTCTCAGGACCCGTCTGTCTCTGCGACCCTAAACGCTCCTGCAGCCCGGGACGTGGGAAGACCGCCGTGAGGCCAGCGAGGTGAGGGGCCCACTCCCGTCACAGGAGAGAAAGACTGAAGGTGCAGTCAAGGGTGCCCCGCCTGTCCCCTCCCCACCTGGAGGAGGCCGCCCCGCCCTGGGCCTCTCGGCTCACCTGAGTTGTGGGAAAACAGCAGGCTGTTCTCGGACCAGAGGATCAGAAGGCCCTCTGTGGCCTGGGACGATGGCCACGTTTAGTGTCTCGTTGTAGTTGAAGGCCAGCCCTAGACTCCGGTCGAGGCGTGGTGTGGAGTACTTGAACGTGCCCTGGAAGGAAAAGACAGCTAAGGCGCCACCCGCCGGAGCCTCCACTGGCAACAACGGCCGCACCTCGGGTCCACGCGCTCACATTGCACTTTCTCCGAACCTGGTGACTCAGCCCAGGGTTCTCAGCGTGGGGCCGTTCTGCTCCCAAGAGAGCAGGTGGCATCTGGAGACATTTGTGGCTGCCACAAGGAGGGGGGGCTCCTGGCACGGAGAGGGTGGCAGGCCAGGGACACTGCTCAGCACCTGCAGTGCCCAGGACGGCCCTCCCCGGCAACAGCGCTTCGTGCTCGCCCTGTCCCGCGGGACCATCGTATGGTAATTGCTGGTTTTGTCGTGTTGGTCCTCTCCTCACAAACGGGCGCTTCCGGATAGGGGATCTCCCCCAGAACTTCAGAGCTTGTGCACCCCCCTTTCCCAATCTTGGCACTGCCTGGGTACTGACTGTACCTGGTCCTTTTTTGAGCAACCTCCAACTCCTGGGCTCAAGCGATCCTCCTGCCTCAGCCTCCCAAGTAGCTGGGACTACAGGCATGCGCCACCACGCCCGGCTAATTTTTATATATATATATTTTTTTAGTTGGCCAATTAATTTCTTTCTATTTATAGTAGAGACGGGGTCTCGCTCTTGCTCAGGCTGGTCTGGAACTCCTGACCTCGAGCGGTCCTCCCACCTCGGCCTCCCAGAGTGCTGGGATTACAGGCGTGAGCCACGGCGCCCGGCCCCCAGGAGGGTCTTGATCTCAGGGAATGAATTGGACGCCAGGATCTCAGCCCCCCTTGCCACTGCCTGGGATCAGGGGACCGGCCATACAGCTCCGGCTAACAGGATGGAAGGGCCAGTTTTCTCAAACAGTCTTCTTGGATGAAGTCTTCCTATGACCGAGACATAGGAATCCAGGAGAACAATAAACATTATTGTCAGCTTTGGGACCCCTGAGCCCAAGTGTTCCTGGAGTTGGCCTTGACCTGCCTTTCCTTTTTTTTTTTTTTTTTTTTTTTAAAGAGACAGGGTTTCACTTGGTCACCCAGGTTGGAGTGCAGTGGCACAATCATAGCTCACTGCAGCCTCCAACTCCCGGGCTCAAGCCATCCTCCTGCCTCAGCCTCCTAAGTAGCTGGGATCACAGGCGTGCACCACCATGCCTGGCTAATTTTTGTAATTTTTTTTTTTTTTTTTTTTTTTTAGAGACAGGGTATCATTATGTTGCTCAGGCTGGTGTCAAACTCCTGGGCTCAAAGCAATCCTCCCACCTCGGGCTCCCAAAGTGCTAGGATCACAGTGTGAGCCACCTCAGCCCGCCAAATTTCTGTTCTTCCATAATTGGCCGCAGTCTCAGGTATTTTGTAATAAAGCAGCACAAACGGAGCTAAGACAGTGACATTGTGAGGTTCTTGGGGGACATCCATTTTTTAGGGGGACACAAGTGAACCCGCCATGCCCTCTCATCTGTGTAATGGGGCGCTGAATGGGCACCTGTGGGTACTGGTACTTAGGTGTGCGTGTGGCCACGTGTCGTAAGTTAATGTGCAGAGCCTTCATTGCACACCAGCGTTTTATAAGCATTCCTTACACGGT